GATGAAGATTCCTGCTGCATCAACATTGCAAGCTTCCAACAAGACATACACAACCCTACATGTACAAACATTATACTTAACATAAACACATTATTGGTAAGAAATATTCATTGATTTTGCTGATGGTTATTTTTCATTGAAAAACTTGATTGGTCACTAAATCAACGATTTGTTAATACAAACATCATAGTAATGATGCATAAGTAATTTTCATTATTATTATATTCACAACAGCCACTAAAGATGAATTAGTGAGTTGAAACATGGAAGTGTAATTATATTATTCAGCCAAATAGCTGTTGGAAAGAGACAAAGAAAATTTGTAAAAAAAGAATGCACTCAAATGTTTGTTAAGAAATGATAAAGGCCTCAGCGATGTCTCCCATCTGAAGATACTTTTAATTAGGCTGATGTACCAACCAGAAAAGGATTAGTTTTGAGTTTAAACCTCAATTGCAAAAGGTGATAAGATTTGAGCACGTGTATTTAAGATCCAAATTACAAAAGACAAGGGGTTTCAAAGATTAAAAAATGACATTTGTATTAGTTAAATCACAACAGCATTAACAAGTGACATCTCATCTGACGTGAAGTCCCAACAAACTAGTGAAAACTTGCAAATTTTTCTTATATATTTTAAGTATTCCTTCAAAAGGAATCACCCATTACTTATATACTCAACCCCCCTCTGCCACCCCCATAGCCTTTCTCTGCTTTTTACACTTCCAACTCTTTCACATAATCAATATCAACTACCACAAAGAAACGTACATATAAGACAAGCACCCTCCTCCACTATGGTGGAACCAAGGTGCATTCCTCATACTGTGTATGTGTTGAGTCATTCCATTAGACACAGTTTAGTACTTTAGGCATAATAATCCATGCATATATATGACTATCAGTTCCTACATTCATCTCATTTGTCTTCACGTTTTTTTCTAGATGATGACATGAAGGAGATTTACTTGACAGGTTGGAAGACTGCAATATTACAGTGAAGTTTTTTGGCAGGTATTTGGTTAATTTTTTAGCTTTTGCAAGAACTAATTTAAATTAATTAAAAAATCACCTTTCACCCAAGTTTAAGCATCTTTATGATTTAGATGTTTGTGATATATGCATTTGATTTGGTTAGTTAACTAGTTTATGTTGATCCTTCTTAAACAGTGAAAGCTGCAGGCTTGAATGCCCTTGATCCTAACTGTTTGTGTCTGACCCTTAAAAAGATTCCAAAGCAAACATTAGAACGAAGCATTGTGAAAAGCTATAAAATTCCCTAAGAAATAGGTAACCTATCCTTAAATTGGATCCTGTGAGGACATAAATTACACATAAACACATACTAGTATATATACTATAGACTTTAACATTCAAGATGGTCCGTGTTCATGTCTCAAAGCAAGACAAACGTACATGTGATTCAGTAATGAAGATGTTAATGCAATATGTGACACTACGTTGAACTCTGAGTAGTATGTGGTGGCTCTAAAATCTAGCTGTTGCAGTCTCAGTTCTCTCACTTTCATGAACTGTCACATGTGGATGTATGTGGCGCTGTAGAAATAGTTCCTTCACATTTCACGGGTTCCTCTTTTCACTAACTAAGCTTTTTGTCTTATGAGAAAAATATTTTATAACACCCTCTTTGGCATATACATTAAGCTTCACAAATATTCCACTTCAATCCATTTAAGGGATCCCACTCTGCTACAAGTTAGATAAACTTGGTGCATAAATTAATGTGCCCATTTGTCACATAAGGAAATTCTAAACCTTAAAATATCATGTTTATAAACCTTTCACATTTATATATTATTCAAGTTATTGAATTCTATTTAATGGAGGACTCACGTTCACACCTGCACACCAACATGATAATCCATTGGAACGATACTAAACCATCTCATGTTAATTTGTATGCATATAAAGCACACACCTAAGTCCAACCTTTTTACTGAATGAAACTTTTTGACCGAAGTCTAAAACCAATATAAGATAGATATTGATCTATTCTCCAACTTTTATGATTATCCCAGAATTAATATTTCCAGCTAATGATCCATTTTTGAAAACCAATAAAGAAACATATTAAGTAAGCAATTGAAGTCTATCGCTCATGATACCCACTTTGTCTTGTGTCTTTTCACGCAAAATAATATAACTAGTATTTAAGTCTATACAATACACCTACATGTTTATTATGTATAATATAATTAAAATTTATAATAAATTATATATAAAAATATTATTTTAGAATATATAAATTATATTTCAAATAAATATACATAAATATTTTTAACATATAAATTATATTTTA